GCCGCGCGGAGCGGCCGGGACGTGGATGCGGCCGCGATCTCCCGCCCCCGCCCCCGCCCCGCTGAGCAGGAGCTGCTCCCGGACAAGGTAGGGCCGGGAGAGTGTGCACTCCCGCCGCCTCCCTCCCCCTTCCCCTCCCCCCACCTCCCCAGGCTCCCTCTGCTCCCTCCTAGCTGTCTAGTCCCCGGCTTCCCCTGCGCTGGCCCCTCTGTCTCCCCCTACAACCTGGTTCCTCGCCGGTTCCGGCTTCGTATCGGCGCCCCAGGGGAGGAAACTGTCTCTAGGTGCTCCTGCTGCATTTAGGCGTCTCCGTTCTCCCCCTCGGTCCCCGGCCACCTTCCTTACCCCAGAGGAAGTGGATAACGAAACCCGCAGCAGCGTGTCTAAAAAGCCTCTTGCTCCATTCCACACCCTCCACTCCCCCGGGACTAGGGAACATTCCCCCTCCCCTCTGCACCCCAACTTCCGGGGGAGCCCGCGCCGAAGTGATGCAGGCTTTGGGAAGGGGCATCTGGGGCCAGGCGTCCTCAACTGGGTTGCACGGGCGTTTTGGGGAGGGGGCTGTGCTTAATTTCGCGCTGGCACCCCCGCACCCACACCCTCGCACTGCGCTGCCTCGGGTGCCGCATGGGGAGATCAGGTGTTTTGTGAGCCAAAGAGCCGCCAGCAGTCGCTCCCCACCCCCACCCGCCTACCACTGCTACCTCCGGGTCCCTAAAGGGTAGTTTCTGTGAAACTTAGGGAGAACCTTTCGCTTTGACCTCTACAAAAATATTCCACGCCGCTCGTGTTGAATGATTAACCACGCTACTTGACCGAAACCTGAGCAGGGGGAAGGGTGGGTGCTGCGGGGAGCTTGTCGAGCCGACCGCTGCAAAACACCTGGCGTGGAGGGTGGGCGTGGGGGTGCTCGGTGCCGACTCCTTGAGGTATTGAGGCTCAGGTCCTGGCAGCTGCCCCGGGACGGCAGGGGGACCCTTCTGGAGGCAGTAAAACCGAGTCACCTTAATTTCCAGGCCACTGTATTCTCCACTCAGGGCTGGGGAGCCCTAGAAGCCACTGTCTACCCATCAAGTGGGGAGGAACAGCCTAGATACTCCCCACAAGTGGCGGAGTAAAAGCTCATCTCTGAAAATAATATCTACATTTTAAACTTGGGTTGGCGAGGAGGCTCCCTCTCCTAAAACGTAGGGGTGGTATGTTTGTCTTGTCTCTCCTGCCCCTCATGGCCTCCTGAACTTCCCCAACTTCGTAGAACGATAGTGGAACAATTATACCATGTTCTCCTGCCGCTCCCTTGTTGGAGCCTTTGCTGTAGATTTCAGATTGCAAAGCCAGTTGGTGAATATGGGCTTGTTATAACAAATCCTTCCACAGTAATTTTGCCTCGGGAGGTAATGGGATGGTTAAAGAGGTGGCTGACAGGGCCAGGATGGGGGCTAGGAAGGCGGGGGCCCAGCCGAGCCCAGCCCAGGCCTGGGGCTCTCAATCTCAGCCTTCTCATGGTCTCTCCCGCGCGGATCTGACAGCTGACTCAGAGGAAGGACAGGGCTGGGCGGTCACTTCTTCCCACTGTCCTAGTTCCCTCTTCTGTTACTTTTGAACAGAGGTTACTAAGCCTGGTGGAATTTGGGAGTTAGGTTTTAAGACCAGGGAAGTTCGGGAGCTCTGCAGAACTCTAATTGAGTAAACCTTTCTCCTCCGCCAAGCCTTTACTGATGTCTTTATCTTTAGGTCTTCTCTTTGGAAGTACTTTTTCAGTTTGGAATACTGCTTTTTCACTTGGGAATCTCCCTACAGGAGCTCACTGCTTTTCATTTAGTTTTTGCGCAAATGGCATGTGTATGACAAAAGACTTAATTCTCCCTGGGAGTTCCAAGTTCCCACCCTCACTGTTCACTGGTCTTGATTCTGCCACATACTGTTCAGTGACCTTGGACAAGTTGTTTATCATCCCTGCCTCATTTTCCATGTCTGGTTTTGGAAATGGTAGTGTCTGCTCTACAAGATTGTTTTCGAGGACAAATAGGATAAGGTTTGCTAAACTCCTAGCTCTGCATCATGGGAGTGAAGAAGTGCTCGATAAGTGGTGGTCACTGTATAATCAATATAGCAGTTCCTCCAGACATCAGCTCCCCTTAGCAAAAACAATAACCATTTAGATTTGTCTGACTAAGACTGAAATCAGCCAGATTTGGCAAATGTGGATAGTTTTTAAAATCCAGGGAAGGAGGTAACCTTTTAAGTAAAATAAACATAATACGCTTATAAAAATTACGAATTGATTTTCTTTTCTTGAGTCCCTGATGAAAAGCTGAGTATACATCAGTGGTTTGTAGTTTTGCAGATTTCCTTGTTTTCAAATTCACAATTCACATTTCTCTAAGATACTAAAGTTTTGCTAAAAGTAGGAAGTGGAACTGATAATTCATGGTTGATTTTACACTCTACAGTTTGTTGAAGTTAATCATTTTGCTTTACATGATGCACCGTTGGTATAAAGTTAAGATTTCTGGATAAAAATGTGTGGGACTTTTTCAGCTGAGGCAGGGATAAGAGAAAAGGTAAATCCTTTGTTTCTTGAATTTTGAAACTGTAGAGAGGAAAACTTTTCTCTTCCCTTCTAAGTTCTTTGGCTCTCTAATAGTTAAATTGACATAAGACAAATTAACAGGAGAAGAACAAATTTGATTTCTTGTGTACAGGATCCCATAAAAGTACACAACTCAAAGAAATGACCAAAGGAAACCAATTTCTGAAGGATTGACAAAACAAAGGAGTTTGGGCTTAGGGTAGCTAATTAGTGAAGAAGTAACAAGGTTTGTTTGTATAGCCTTTTCAGCCCTGAATTTCCTATCTCTATTGATAAGAATGCCTTCTCCCCTCATGGTGCAGGGAGGATACCTTCACGTGGGAGATTTATTTCCTGCTTTCAAGGGGGACAAAGGAGGGTCGGAGTGTCCTTTGCTGGCTGTTTTCTCAGGTAGCTTTAGTTCAAAATAACCAGTGTGTCAAAGTGACATATTTTGGGGTGGCATATTCTGCTCCCCTTCAAAACTTTTAAGTTTTAATGTTTTCTGACAGTCCTGGGGTGTTTTTTAAAACCATAATTTAGGAATGCTGAACCAGGGCTGTGAATGTGCTTGAATCACACTCTGTTCTTAAACATACCAGGTCAGTGTTTTAAATTCATCCTAACTTGCTTAATAGCCACAATATTTGACTCTACTTACTTTCTTTTTTGACAGTTTTATTGGACAGTTTGTTAAAGACTTTAAAAATTAATAAATGCAAGTGGTTACTTTTATAAACATTGACATTCTTGCGTCTGGGATAATACTTGGTTATGTAACCCACTGCAGCATGCCCGCGGTGGTGCATAAGTTACTGATACTGCAAAATCTTCATAAAGGCCTTTTGATCTTATATGTGAATGGTCAGGAGAAACTAAAATCATTTCAGTCACTTGCCTGGCATTTTTGGTGTGTATGGAATGTTAAAACATGATTTAAACTGGGCTCTGATCATTTGAAAATTGTGTTTCCTGACTTGAAAAATCAAAAGCACCCAGTAAAGACCAAAGCACATACATACACCCAACAGGCGTGGATCCAGCTTTCCCTCTCACCTTCCCCCAAGGTGGGATAACTGTTACTAGGTGCTTGCCAAATACGTCTCCAACTTGGAGGGTGAATAAATTCCTCTCTCAGGAGAGGCAATTACCGTTTGAATAAGAGGTATATGTATGTGTAGGGTTAGCCTTCGAGTGAATTGATGTAATGATTTCATCATCACCAGCTGATGATGAGGCTTTGCTAGTCTGAGCAGAGCTTGAGTGGGAAGAGCTTGCTACCGGATGGAGAACTTATTAGGGCATACGTGACACAGTTACTTCACTACTGGAAAAAGTTGTTTGTACAAGTTTTCTGTTTGTTACAACTCTGCACAGAGATTTTACACTCACTGCGTGTTGCCCCTGCTGTGAGTTTTATGCTCTTTGCCCTTAACCTTTGTCTTCTTGCCTTGTCTTAATTTTTGTAACGAAATTCGAACTTTTGAGAGCGGGCATTGTTGATAAAGTTATAACGTATGTCTTGAAATATTTTGTGTAGTCTGATTTAGGTATTTCCATAGATAACTCTAAGGACTTGGTTACAAATTATTTTCTGTGCATCTATGATCATTCCCTTAGAGCAAGGTTCAAAATTGTTTTTATTCTGATGTGGTTACAGAGGGGAAATTCCCAGTAGTAGCAAGGAAATTGATACTTTCTACTTTTCATTCTGTGGCATTTAAAACAGGTTTGTTGTTCAGATGTCTTCACTCTAATGTAATTAGCATGTACTTTGCCTACCAGAGTGTTTAAAAAAACTTATTATCCAAGGGAATCAATTCTAGAGGGTGGCCAGGTTCTGTCAAAATGGTCATGTGGTGTTTTAGTGGTTAAAGAGCATGAACCTGGAGTCGATCAGAGGAGGATTTTTTTACCTTGAGGTGTAGCATATAGTAGAGTGTGTAAAGTGCACTGATATTAAGTGTGCAGCTCATGAATGTGCGTCCACCACCAGGTCAGGAGGTAAACGTTTTCAGTACCGCAGCAGGTCCCTGTATCCCGTCTCAGCCAGTATCCAGCCCCTAGAGGGAACTGTAATTCTGACATATCATCTAGGGTGTGACTCATATTGTCATAGATTAGTTCTGCCTGTTTTGAACTTCATGTAAGTGGAATTTACAGAATGTGTAGTCTTTTGTGGAACAGATCTGGATTTGAGTTTCATTTTTGCCACTTACTGTGTGACTGTGGGCACCGTGTGATGAGCTACTCTAAGCTTCAGTTTACTAGTTAGTGAAATAGGGGAGATAAAGCCCTATCTCAGATTTGCTAAGAAAATTATGTGATGGCACATGTAAAATTCCTAGCATCATGCCTTGACATACAGTTTCCTTGTCCCCCTTTTATTTCTTTAAAAAGGTGATAACTAAAGCAACTACATCTTTTGTGTTTTAATGTGCTATTTCCCTGTAAAAGCTGTGTAGGTCTTTTATTGAAAGTTAGAAGCCAAATCGTTGTTGATTTAACACTTTGT